ACACACACCCACACAAACGTATATATATATATATATATATACATATATATATAATATTATATATATAATATTACACAACTATATTCCATTATTATGGAATAATAATATAATTAAATTTAATAATTTAATTTGATGCTGAGTATGTGTTTCATACATAATGAAACACATACATGATGGAACCGGTAGTTCGAAACAGATTGTTTACCACCTCCCGATGCTACAATGTAGCTTGCAACAATAGAAATCTTGATAATATCACTTGTAAATACTTGCTTAATTCTGATTTTATTTTTATGTTTATAAATAAAAAAAAAAATTCCAGACCCCCGTAACCCTATCCCGTGCCTTTTTCATTCACACTCTAAAAAAACACTCTCTCCATTAAATCTTGACAAATAAAACACTTCTTCTGTCTACTAAACTCATCGGAACAACGGGGATGTCATAATAAGTACATAGATACTTTAGCTTTGTAAAGGTATAACCAATTTCCCCCGGGGTATCACTAATTAACCCACTGGGGTATAGACTTAAAAATAGAAGATCTTTGTTCCACAACCTAATTCCAACAAACCGTAACAAATTTCATCGCAATAGCTCAATGGGAACTTTGTTGTTGCTAAGGAGTTTCTTTGACTGCTGCTGTGATTTTTCTTCAACTTCTTCGGTACTTTTAAAGACATTTTGCTCAAAACTTCATAGGCCAGTTTATAGAGGATAATTAGTATTAAAAATAGCTTTACTTTACACATAATTGTCCGATTAAGGTCATTGACCCCTTATTATAAAGTAAATGATGTGCTCTATTCATTTACATTAAAAACCCATTTTCAGAGTACGAGTTTACAGCCCTTTTGCCCCTTTTTCGGTATACTCTACGAAGTGAAGATGAAAAAATTGGATGTTAAACATATTTTTGCCTTTGTTGATAGTTGGGATGGCCTACTGCCTACCTAATTCAAAGCAGGCAGGCCCTCGTCTAATGTAATTTCTGAAGGCTACAATGTTTGAAATGAAAAAAAAAGAACGAATGTTTTGGTCAATTGAGCCTGCCTAGACCATTATCAGTATAATTTGATTATAAGCATATATCATATACTGTATAAATATATAT